GCAGAGCTGATTTCTTCGACATGCTTTTCATTTCTTTATCCATCGCGGTTATTTTACTCTGTAGCTGCATTAWAAGTTCACCCATCTGATTCATTCTTTCCGATACGATTTCGGAGAATTTTTGTATTTCTGCTACTTCCATACTCTTAGCCATTTTATATTTATTTATTAATTATTATTTTTTCAGTAATAATCTCTCAAATACTTAACTACTGACTCGTCAGTAGGGATATTAGACACGTCTATATCAGTATTTGGGTTAATAAAACTTGTACTTACTGTACAATTGATGCGTCGTTTGCTTTCTTAAGTGCCCTCGGGTTGACTTGCTGAACTTTATCTTCTTCAGGACCCTCAAGTCGCTGATTATTTCCTTTGGAAATCCCGTACCGCTGCCACCAAATTGTTACGCGGAAATGTTCACGTGAAGTTAAATTCGCGTTGATTTCCGGATAACGTAAGAATTCGGCCTATTGAATTCTTGTGATTGTATTAAAAACAAGGATTTCCAAGTTTTGGAAAGAATAACTTTTATTTACAACAGATTTACGTTCGGATACAAAACGACTCACAAGCGTAACGGCCAGGATAGAAGAGAGTTTCGGATGTCGAAGGAGCCCCTTTTAAGGGAAATCGGAACAAGGAATGTTCTAGAAGAAGGGCGTTTTCCATAAGTTAAGGGATTCTTATTGGTGTTCTCACGGTGCAGTGGGGGATTGTTTAAAAATTCCAAATTTTATGTTCGGCGTGAAAAAGTAGAAACGGATGTCTCTTAATTAGTATGCAGCGCAGGTGTAGGTTTTATCTACTAGCCCTAGCAGGTTTAGACAGGTTTTCCAAGGGATCAAGATAATACATCTAAGCAGGTATAGTTCACGTCGGGCCTAACAGATCAACTACCAGCAACTATTGAAGCGCCCCTCTAGTTACCCCCACCTCTCGCATCCCCACTTCTCACTTCTAGTGCGTACGCCCAGCTGGGCTAGTACAAAAGGACATTCCTTCATTCCATTACTGGACGCCTGTGAATATATATCTTAATCAAAAGAGTTAAGTTAAGGAACATAAGCGAAGCGAGCGAGGGGTGAGATCTTTTCATTATATACATTTCACATCTACGGTATTTTCCCGCGTGGTAACACCACCTGGTGGACCATCATTGTTATAATTAAATATCATCAAGGGTTTTTATGCTGCAAGGCTTTTCCCTAAAGAGCCAATAAAAAAGGCATTGTTTCTTTGATTGGCTCAATCACGTGTTTTATTTTACACTTTAACCTAACCCTTTATTCTCCACTTCATAGCATATACAAATTACCAGAAGACTCTTAGTTGAGGAATTTCGGCCATAACATCGTTGTTAGAATCTTTATTTAGATAAGAGTATATAGAGAATATTATTTTGTTTTTCAAAGAATAAGGACAAGATATTTTATAAATAATACCGGTCTAGAGAGATAGGGAGAGAGAGAGAGAGAGAGAGACAGGCAGACAGACAGACTGACAGACAGAGAAGTGTGGAAGGCTACGGAGTTGAGAGAGTATTTCTCGAGAAGATCTCTATTAGATCTCTCATTGCATTTTACCAGAACCTTCCTTTAGTCCAGCAGTATTTTCCATATGTTTTTCGTAGCATCATTATTTCGTCATTCCTAAAATGTTTGTTAGACAGCGCAAAAATATAGATTAAAACGGGAAATTGAAAACCATACTAACAAAAAAAATTTTATACCTGAGTTTCAAAAAAAGGATATTCTATATTTATTTATTTTACGACGAATTATATTTCTCTCGATAAATATCCTACGATTTTGGTGTCTATCTACGACTATCGCATTTAGCATTCCATTTTTATCGCTTAATTTTAAAAAATTGTACTTTTTATCAATTATTTTACCCAGAGACCATACCGGTGCACTTCGATATATATGGTAATAATATTATAATAAAAAATCCTACAATAATCTTACTCTTGAAACTGTGCATTCGTCTCATTCTCTCGAAACATAGTTTTTTTAAGGTTTCACTTCTAACACGTGTGATCTGCACACATGTTTTTTGAAGTATTATTTTTTTTGATTAAAAACAAAATAATGTATGCATTATTATCTGTACATTTTATGCAAATAAAAGTGAAAATCTTTTTATGTGTACATCTTCGACAAACATACTTTTGACATTTTTCACATATATTATTTGTTTTGTTGTTATAGCAAAGTCGTACTTGACAAATTTTGCGTTTGTTAAAATGGATTGCATTTGATGATGTTGTAGCTCTGTATTCGGTGTAAAGCTGTTCTGCTAATTAAAACAAGAACACTTTTCGTTGTATTTGTAATTCTGTCGTTTCTTTGTAAAATATCCAACCATTTATAGCAGACAAATCTAAAATATTGAAAAATATTTGGAGGGGCCATCTATGAGAACTAGCTTTTGCTGTATGTTTTCTGGCCATTTGATCCGTCATATCAACTCCAAATTTTGTGCTTTTATAAAATTGAATAGATTCCGGTAACATTTTGTTATTACTTTTATCAATTTGCATTAATTTATGCTTAGAACTTAGAATAACTACTTCTTTATTTGGTTTGTTTTTATATATTGTAAGAATACAATTCTCTGATTTATATAGCAGAACAGAAAAACGAGACCTGTTATCCTTTGTTTGTTTGGCTGTTTTTTGTAGTTCTCTTTTGTTTCCTCTAATAGTTCCAATTAGAGTTGTTTTTTTTTTGGCAAATAATTTATTTTTGGCTAATTTTGACATGCTAGTGAAAAAGTTATCGGTTGAATATTTCTTCCACAGCTTGTATATGAGTCGATAAGTTTTAGAACAATGTGTTCACTAAGAAGCATTGACGGTGGACATGGTTCATATTTCCCCTAATAAGAAAAACCATTTAAAACATATTTGCTACTGACATCTCTTGTAAGTCAGAATTTGATGGCAAATTTGTTGGATTTATTAGGCATATACTGTGTAAATCTGCACCTTGCTATTGAAGGAAATAATTGCTCTTGTCAACTGTTATATTTTGCCCTGGTTGATAGCAAGCTTGATTGTTTTCAATGAATTTATCCCATGTTTCCAAAACCTAGGCAAATTTATTTGTTTTGAAGGTGCCTACTTCTTTTAGCTCTTTTGTCAAAACGAATAAATCGTAGGATATGCTTGAACTTTTCTCTAGCCATAATGTTTCTAAAAAATTCGGGACCCCACTTTGCTGACCATAAATAACTCAATTTAATAATAAGGGTCATTTGTTTATTTTAAATTTTTCAAGCAGTCAAAATGACTGCTTTTGGGCAATATAGAAATAACACATACAAATAAACCGGAAATGTAGGAGGGGAGGGAAATGACAAAGATTATTAATAAACGCATTTACATGTTGTATAAAAAGTCAACACAATTTAAAAAATATTTATCTTTATATACATAATTTTGTTTCTAATTGAAACTAGAAAATAGTAAAAATTACTTGCTTGGACAATCTAGTTTTAATCACAGAAAATTTTTTTAGTGAAAACTTATGTTTGGACGAAGCTATGTGTTATGATCAAATTCTTTCATTTAGAGTCCTCTGGTAATTAGTTGCTGGGGATGAGGAAGAAGGGATTAGAATAAAATTAATCAAACACGTGGTTGAGCCAAACAAAGAAACAATGCCTTTTTTATTGGCTCGTCAGGAAAGAGCCTTGCGGCATAAAAACCCAGGATGATATTTGATTATAACAATAAGAGTTAACAACGTGGTGTTGCCACGCGGGAAATACTGTCGATGTGAAATGTATGTAAGATTTATTGAATTAAAATAAGAAAAATGTTTATTATAATATAAGAAATACTTAAATATTAAGGTTTGAGATAAGAATCGGAAAGAAAAAGTAAGTAATAATAATTAGAAAACACAAAACACTCGTATAATACTGAATAGTTACATCGAATCAAGAAGGCGAAGATCGCCTTCTTCGCCGCGCTTATATATTCATTCACCACACCAATGGGCCCAATCACTTCCGTTAATCATTCTCGAAATCTCCAGACTATTCCCAACCGATCAAACAAAAGACTTCTTCCTTATTTCCGGTTCGGGAATATTCGAGAGATTTCACACACATACTTGTATTCTTACCGCTACACGTACTCACATTCATACTCATATCGCTGCATGCACTCACACTCATATTCATATTGTTACATGTTCTTACAAATCTTTCACGTTCATCAACTGTTTTCACGCACACCATACACTCGCACTCTTCGTCTTTCTCTCACCCTTACATGTATATAATGGAAAGATCTCAACTTTCGCTCGCTTCGCTTACGTTCCTTAACTAATTTAACTTAACTACTTTGATTTAGATATATATTCACAGGCGTCCAGTGATGGAATGAAAGAACGTCCTTTTGTACTGGCCCAGCAGGGCGTATGCGCTAGGGGTGCGAGAGATGGGGGTAACTATAAGAACGCTTCGATAGTTACTAGTATCGATGCTTGATATGAGTATCAATCTATAGTTCTAATCGATAGAATCGGACACGCGCGATTTAACTACATCTAATTACCGTACGATCAATTCAGATCGTACACTATGTACCTACATACGTATACGCCAGTGGAAAATGTGTTTCATGGAACAAGTGAATAACTTAGTTTAGTCACAAAAAAAGGAGAAAAAGCCATAAAAATCGAAAAACAGCATAATTTTATTGATTTATTTATTTTTTAAAGTACATTTAAAACGTTCATTAAACTAAATATAAAAAAACATCATTATTATTTTAAAAGAAATGAAATTAATCAAAATGAAAATATATATATTGAACAAAGAGAAAAATAATATGACTTGCATAATTTCCTTAAAATATTTTGTATTTATTTAATCATAGTTATAAAGATATTTTTCAAACTGACGTACTTCCTTTTCTTGTGGATCCTTTTCTTCAGATCGTTGCTAAATTATTTTAAACACAATCATGATTAATAAGATGTAAAGCTTATATKTAATAAAAATATTTAAAATAATAGGTACTATCACGCAATAGCTAATCGAAACAAAAAGTAAATAAAATTTATATCATAAAAATCAAATAAATTACCTCTTTTTCGGTCCCCCTAACGAGAATATTTTTCTCGTTGCCATCTACGGAATTATCTTTTATTAAATGGCGAACAGCGATTATTGAAGATTCTGTGCATAGTATAGAGTTTAGTCGTTTTAAAAGTAATGACATTTTTATGTAATATACATTTTTTAATTTTTCGTCAGCTACTGCATTTTCTAAAAGATTAGGCAATAAAATAAATAAACCATGATGCGAAGATTTTTTTCTTTTTTTGCATAATTTTTCAATATTAGTGTCTCTTAATCCATCTCCGTCTAAGTCGAACGAAGAGAAAATAAAGAATTTTACATGAGACAGACAAAGCTTTCTGCTATATTCATCTAGTATTTTAGTAACTTTGAAATACTTTAACGAAGAAATTGAAGAATCAATCTTCGTTCTTTGTAGATCAAATATGCCATCTAGTGGACCTATAGTTAAAACTTCTTTGAATAATTTCTCAATACATGTGACATTGCTYAAGTCATCTTCATGTCGGACAATGACCGTTACTCCATTTTCGCGCCATTTAAGGACCGCACATTCGTGACCCTGTGTAGACATATCAGAAGCAATGATGAATTTTTTAACTCCTTGTTCGATCATCCATTCAATCAGTACTTTGCCAAAGATATTGAAACCATCGATGACAAGGTAATATTTATCGCTATGGAACCAAAATTGAGAAATGATATTGGAAAGTGTTTTATCTTCTTGCAAGTTGACTAAAACCTGCAAAAAAATACATTTGTAATATAATTGTCAAAAAATATTATTAAATATTATTAGATAAACAGTATAAATAATTATTTACTTTTCCATAACGTTCACAAGCATCAATGCTTCTTTCTTCCGTTGCTCCTTGAAGAAAAAGTCTTCGTGATATAATTGGTTTTAAGCTGCCCATTTTAAGAGCTGTTCTCATCAGATCTGCTGCTTCTCTYTTAATTTTCGTTGGCAACTTAATAAGGTCTTGTAAACAGTAGCCGTATATACTTATGCTCCTATTAAAATTATATAGTGGTATCGGATAGTAACTAGGCCCTTTATAATCATAAGTCATAACCAAATGTTTTAAATCTTTAACAATGTCTAAACAATTTTCCATATCGTCTAAGACGGAATAGTTTGCTACTACAAAATCAAAACCTTTGCCTTTTGTAATATTTAGAATATAACTTTTATAATTTTTAACATTTATAATATGAGTCTGTGGTAAGCTTGGTCGTATTGTCTCGATCACTCGTTTTTCTGCTTCCGTTTCATAAGTAGTGTAAACATCAAAATTATATAATAAAGATAAATTTATAAGAGCCTGTCCTATGTCACTAGCACCAAAATGTATTAATACAGTTTTAATAGTTTCAAACTTTCCTTTATCTGAATGTAAAATAATAAAAGCTGCTAAATAAGCTTGGGGAATCGTTGCAGCATCTTCAAAGCTTAACGTTTCTGGAATAATCCAAGTTAAATCTGGATCTGGTAAAATTTCATTGCTTATAGTTAAATTATTAACAAGCCCCATTACTCTACGACCTTTTTCATCTCTTCCTGAATATTCWGTAAGAAATATTTGTGATTCTAAGCTGACGTCACTATTTAAATAGTACTCGTAAACATTCAAGTCGAATGCTGCAAACTCTACTTCTACGACACTTTCATTTTTTTTTCTAAACAGTGGTAGGTCTTCCGTCCATTCTAAAGAAATTGGTTTATTTATTTGTGCTTTCCAACGCAAAGAAGAAGTAGACTTCACTGACAATGGCATCCATCTGTATGTGCCCCATTCCCCATTTGGCGCTAAGACGTTTTCACGAAGATTAAGCTTTACTTGTGATTCATAGAATTTATTTTGAAGTGAGAATTTTGGTGCTTTTTCATCTTGTAAGTCAAAAATTTGAAGTTTCTTATATCCCGGTTCTCGTTTTATATCTCGAAGTATCTCAAATATATCATTATCGATAATAGTGTTTACCACAAATATAATATTGTCATATTTTGAGTCTCGCAAACAGATCTTTAATTGATCTAGACAGTTTTCTTGGTTACTCAAAACAATCGTTTTTCTTAAATTTCTTTCTTTACGTAAAAGCAGAACAATACGACAAAGAGAAATGTTGATCTTTAAGATGACATTTAATCCAACACTTGCTAATGCAGAAATCACATTATCTTTCTCTTCTGTTTCCATGGTTGTCAATAAAAATGATTCTTTATCGAGAGTACTAATAAATTTTCTTACATCCTTAAAGTGCGCATTATTTATAATCGTCAAAATAAAATCCTCATTCATTGTCTGGTTAAGGAGCTCTCTGTTAATTAATTTTATATTCAGGTTTTTCCTCGTCCTTTGTATGATATTCTCGAGAAACTCCAAAATGTTTTCATTTTTGTTTTTTGAGTCCTTTATTACCAATATTTTTTTGATATTTTTTTTGCTAATATTTGTGGAAATTAATCCTATTACTACGTTTAATACGTCGTCAATATTCAACTCTGTTTTATCTACATTCTGGATAAATTGAAGTTCATCCGTTATAATTTCCCAATGACTGTTTTCAAATATTATTTCCTGAAATTGAATCCCAATCATCTCAATTCCGGGGCAAGCTATCACATTTATGTGTTTGTCGAATCTCATAGATAGCTCTGTGAAAACAAATTATTATATACTATATAATTTATTAAACTATGATATATGTCGTGTTTTTTTGTGGAGGAACTTACCAAAGAAATATTTAAATAATTGTTTAAGAAAATGTATTTAAATAATGTAACAATTAGAATTTACGAGAATATATAATGCAGAAATTACTTGAATATTTCTTAAAAAATAATTAAAGATCTTGAATTCTTTCCTAATAATGACTTTTGTTTTAATAAATTGTTTATTATTTCACAATTATAACTGTTAGTACTAAAACGTTAAGAAAAGACTGCCGATTATTGCGAATAATTAAATAACTGTAAATAATTTAATATCAAAGCAAAATTCAATAAATAATATAAATTTTAATTTTTTGTTCTTTAATTATAAATAAATGAAAATTAAATTCATTTCGTTTTACTCCTAATATGATCATAAAGTAGTATAAATACATTTTAATTTTGATTTATCTGTTAGAGAATTTGAAGAGTTTTACACACAACTCTTGGTCTATATTTCATCTTAATAACGACGAAAAAGTTAATATAAACATTCAAATGCTTACCATTATTTTCTTTCATTTTGTCAGTTAATTGTGCCAAGTCGATGACGAGTTTTTCTATCCTACTCGGTATCAACATATTTTTGTTCCTACTGCTGATAATATGCACTTGAATTAATCCTTCTAGTWATAACATCCAATCACTGCTCCATTTAAACGTACCATTGGTACACGATGTWGAAAGTCTGCTAATAATATTATAAGATTCTTCGTACTGGTAACCACGTAAAAGAAGATTTGAATAAATATCTTCTTCGTTTAAAAATTCTGTTTCCTTTTTCAGTAAAATAATTTCAGGAATAACTTTTTTCTCAGTTTCTGCTACTCGTATAGTTCCAGAAGCTAACATGATTCCTTCTTTACATTTAACTTCAAATTTTCCTGAGCCTAAAAATTTACATTTTTTTAACATAGTTACGAAATATTATATTTTGGTGATTAAAAATTTTTACCTTTAAATATCATAATAATTAAATGTATTTTGTTATCTTTGGGTACTGTTAGTAATTTATTGTGATTTTTAATATTTTCCAGAATAAAAGAATTGTCATGCTTGTGCGGATTTAAATTTAAGTAAACATTTAAAACTAATTTCGAATAGACAGCTAAAGAAATARTAACTTTATCGTTCATTTTAAAGTTTCGTAAAAATTTGTATTTATCTGATTCCAGATCTATCAGTTCTTCAACTTGTTGAATTTCATACGTTTTATCAGCTTCCACGTTCCTGTCCAACATATGAAATAGTAGTTTGTACAATTCATTTTAGAAAAAAGTCTATTTTATACTTACCAATCAGAACTATGTTCCCATCGGAAGAGTGAAGAAATCGACGGCGTTCCTATAGAAACGGGATAGGAAATTCTCGGATAGAGCTTCCCTGGCTTAATAGGTATCCCAAGATTATAAAGCTTTCCTAATGTTGATAGTAATAAGATTGAATTATCTTTATTACCCCGTCTTGTTAATGTTAAATTAATGCAGTTTTTTTGTAACGATTTGTTCAAAATTGCCTGATGAATAAAATGTAATAAGTTACACAGTTATAACAACATAAAATAAATATTTTATTCTAAATAATAAACCTGTAGCAGTCCATGCGGTGAAATTTCAATGGTTATAGCATTCTTTGGAATCATTTTTATTACTTCTTCGAATAAAACAGGAGAAAGAAGATTATTTGTATGATATTCAGGTGAAGAAACTTGAGCTTTCATTGAAAGCCATTCGTTTTGCGGGATAGACGTGCATATCCAACGAGAACTGCGTTCTTTTGGAAAAGGAATGACTTTTTTTAGGTAATCCAACAACTTTGGACCAGCTGGAGAAATGTAACGACTATGATATGCAATATTATTAGTTGGAACGGTTTTAGCAAATATTCCTTTATTCTAAAAATGAAAAATTATGACTATATTAATAAAACTTCATTATTAAGACTGTCTATTAAAAAATCTACTTAAAATCTGCTAAGAATTACCTGTAATTCTTTTACAAAAACATTTATTGATTCGGTTGGTCCACTTATTGTAGAGCTTTCTGGTCCATTATGACATGCAACGTCAATGTCTTCAGGGCAAATATCTCGAATTTTTTGGTAGCCAAGACCAACTGCAGCCATCGTTCCGTGTATTAAGTCACTTTCTACAGAAGCCAAACCTCGAGAGAGAGCACTTAAAATCATTTCTTCAGCAGAAAAGCAACCATCTGCGTAAGAACAACCAAGCTCACCAACAGAATGCCCGATCATGTAATTCGGTTTAACGCCAACAGCATATARAATATCCACTAGACCAATCTGTGTAACAATCACGAGAAATTATTTATACAAAGATAAGAAGAAATAAAAAATATTAAAGTGTAAATATTAAATATATTATTACTTGTATTGCCGCTATTCCTAAAAAGCAATTTATAATATTATCGTATATAGTTGGATCTTTGTCACATATAATATGCATAATATCATAACCTCGAGGTCTTAAAACATTATCACACCTTTTTATTGCTTCAGCAAAGATTGGTATCTTCATCAGTGATTCACCTAAAAAAGATTTATTATGATATTTGATAGTTATCAAATAACATCTTTTTAATTATTTATATGTAAAATTTGTAGTACCCATTCCAGTCCATTGTGATCCCATCCCCGAAAAAACAAACCATATCTGTCGAGATTGAGGTGACAAATTGTCATTAATCATCTCTATCGATTGTTCTGAGTTAGTTACTTCAGATTCTGGAATTACTGTATATCCAGAATACAATGATTGAGGAAATGGTTTCTCAGTAATGTCATTAATTAATTGAGCAAATTCATCATCTCCTCTGTTCGAATTCAACTAAACACGTATACCATATTATTAACAATCATTTTGTATAATTAGTTTTGTCGTAAAATAAATATCTTACGGTATTGAAGATCGATGTCATCATTTCTTGAGTTCGACAAGAAGCTACAAAAAGCCGTGGCATATTATTTTGTGAAAGCTTTCTACCCAGCTTCTCTTTTGAATGACGTTTCAAGATAATGTGCGAGAAGGAACCATTTAATGCAGCTGTGTTAACTGCAGCGTAACAATCCGTCCAAATTGTTGGTTTTGTAAYGACTTTTACGCGTCCCTCCTGAAGACATTGAGCTTCTTCCGGAGGCTCGGAATAATGAAGATTCGGTGGTATAACTCCGGTCTCCATAGCAATTAGTACCTAGAAATTACAAAGAGAATATANGGTATAACTCCCGTCTCCATAGCAATTAGTACCTAGAAATTACAAAGAGAATATAATGTAGAATATGAAAATAAATCTGTATTGTGTTACATTTAATTTTGTCTTTTCATTTATTTTACCTTGATTATCGAATTTAATGTATTATTATTAAATGTATAACCAATGTTTGATTTAATAGATCCTATTAAGAGAGGATTAGAATAACTTCGATCTTGACCATAAACAAGATCTATCGCATTTAATTCTTCTAGATCCATTGATCTGATTGCTGTACCATCGGCCTCGATGTAATTTACATCGCTAGGTCTTAAACTGCATTGTTTCAATGTCTGTTTCATTATTTGAGCTTGAAATTCAGCTGTAGAAAATAWACAAGTTTTTCTTGAAATTGCTGGAGTGTAACTAACACAAATATTAACGACCTCAGCATATACTCGCTTTGCATCTTTAGCTCTTTGTAAGAAAATAGTTCCTACTGACTCGCTTCTTAAGAATCCAGAAGCATTTTTGTCGAAAGACCTGTTTAGCCCGTCGGATGACAACAAACCTAAATCACGAAATTTATACAACCAAAAATTATTTATAAATTAGGAAAATATTCATTTGATTATGTAGAAATTTTCATTATTATTTATATGATCAAATTACAAGAAACAGTTGCCTTTTTTTTCTTTATATGTAAGTACTGGAAGTAATTATTCTTTACATACTCATATTTTACCTAATTCAGAGAGTTGAGAGGATGTTTTAGAAAGTAAACTTAAGGCTCCACCACACACAATCGCATTATCGCAATCTCCAGCTTTAATAGCTTGGTAAGCTTTTTGAATTGCTAATGCACTTGATGTGCAATTTGAATCAATACTACAGCTTGATCCAATTAGACTCATAACAAATGAGATCCGGTTTGCTAGCATACCACGGCAATACCCCGTTAAAGTATATCCATCTTTCTATTATGAAAATAAAACGAACTATAGATACAGTTTTTTCAATAATTTTTAGAATCAATTAGATGAATCTATTAACTTACCTTTCCTAGAGCTCTCATAAGATAACTATCTGACTCATATAAACTCAATACCCCGTAAACATTGGTTTTCTTGTCGCGTAGCTCTGCAGGATTTATTCCAGCATCAATAATTGCTTCAAAAGTAGTTTCAATTGCAATTCTAAATTCTGGCGCCATATTTTTTGACTGGAATGTACTAATTCCAAAAAAGAAGTTGTCAAATTTCGTTAAGTCAGAAATTATTCCCAAACGAGATGGTATTTTGGAAATAGGATCTAGAATAATTATATATCAAAACAATAAATAAAGTACTTCAATATGATTGTTGAGAACAATAAATTTTTTTTTTTGTAGGCAACAAGGCACACTCATACACAGGCATACATAGGTAATTAGACAGGCTGACATAAAGAACAATAAAAGCGACTCTTTCTATTTGTCGGATTTTCTTGAAGACGTTAGGAGGAAGTGAGAGACGGACAAAGTATCTGTACAGCTTTATAAATAATCGCCGACTAATGCAAAACGTTTTTCAAACATCTTCTATCAAAGCATTTTACATGAATTTTCGAACAGTAAAATATTTTCGTGTAAAAACTAATTTAACTTATTCTTACCTAATTTCCATCTTTTATGATCTATAGTCGAGCAATCCTTTCCACTTATTAAATTCGCTATTAATTCATTAATATTTTCACTTTTCGGAAATCTTCCAGATATTCCAGAAATAACCACTTCTTCTTTGCCATCTAAATTCATACTTGCTAAATGTATCTATATAGAAGCTACAATCAAATACGATTTTACTTATCAACTAAAGCTATTAATTGTTGCTGCTGTTTATATAGCCTTCGGCATAGGTCTAATTAAAACTGATATTTGTACCATTCGTTTTAAAAATTTAAATATCTTACGCGTAGAAAGCATTGTCATTTTATTTAAGTGAAAACAAACGCGATTTCGAGGCATGGGAGCGATGTGCGTCACGGCAAGACAGTGGTGGACGGTGAGGCAACGGAGCGACGGGTGGCTTTGAAACGGCCACGATATTTAGTAAGAAGAGAAAAAGAGACAAACATATAGGATTAAGCCTGCGAGAGAATGAGATAGAATATAGCTATGTAGTTTTTCCTATTCTCGGTCTCCATACTACAAAGCGTGGACACGTATTCTTTCGATACTCGAAATGTTTGTAGGTAGGAACGATAGAAGGGTAGAAGGAATAAACAGAGATAAGCACGTAGGTATGTGACAAAAGTATAAGGTCCAAAGGAACCGACGGTCGAAATAAAGCTAGAGGGTGCTTGGTCTGCTTTTATTTTACCAAACGTGTCATTTCTTTACTATTTAAAAATGTTTCTATTTTATTGAAAAATTAGTATTAAATTCTTTATTTCGCAAATATTATAATAAATAAAAATGAAGTACATAGAATGTATAATAATTGTATTGTCTGAAATATTAAAAAAAAAAAAAAAGGATTACCAGATACATCAGAGAAAAAAATTAAACAACATTGTAGAATATTTTTCTTATAAATATTCAAAGACATGTTTTTTAATTATAATTTTGTCTATTTAGAAAATTTTTAATAATTTTTAATAAAATAGAAAAGTTTGTAAATAGAAGAAACTAGACACGTGACAAAAACAAATAAACCCTAAATACTTTATATTTCCAATAAGAATATAATAATATAACTTATTTTACAAATATGGAAAAAAAAATATAAAAAATAAATTTTTAAAAAAATTTTTAATATTTTGAAATAAAACAACGAAAATAGAAATAGATTTTAAAATCGTTGTAATTCAAAACCCGATGAAACGAAAAAAATATGACCACAATTGTTCCCTTTTTTAACAGCATTTACAGTTATTAGTTGCAACACAAAAAGAAATACTTGTGTATGCTAACCTATGATAA